CTTTGATCATTAGGTCGCTGATTAGGTCATCCCCCATTGCCAGTACCAGGTCAAGTAGCGCTTTACCTCTCGTCGGCCCGTAGACTTCTCGAGTCAGATAGAGGTTGTCCACACACGAGAGAAAGCTTTGAGACCGCTTGGATTTGGCTGAGCAGTTTTCCTATGAGATGTCTGGGTAGTTGAAGTCTCCCATGACAACTGTGCACCAGGAGCATGCAGCCTCAGCCAATTCCCTGACAAACTCCTGGTCAAGCTCTTGATCCTAGGTAGGGGGTCTGTAGTAGACTCGCACCATTGTGTCCCTTGTGCCATGTTCCCCACGGATTTTAACCCAGAGGGTCTCCAGTTGTCCACCCTGAGCACCAGTTTTGGCTTGCAGGGACGCGTAGCTTTCCTTGACCCCCACCCCTTTTGTCCACTTGGTCTCTCCTATACAGGGTATAGCCATCTATACCTGTGGCCCAGTCATGGGTGGAGTCCCACCAGGTCTCCATTATCCCTATGACATTGTAATTATTTGTGTTTAGCAGCTGGTGTTAAGCTTGTATCCATATCAAGATTTATCTTCAAAAAATAATTTTTTTAATAATGAAAAGATGAAGCCAGATGTCACTGTTCCAGCAGTTTTTTCATGCCAATTATTTTGGCCATTCTGATAAGGAAAAATTCTGAAATGTTATGAGATGGACCCATTTTCAAATTGGAATACTGATGAATGGTAATACTAAAACTTTAGTAGTTATGCATTTTAAAATACCAACAAAAGAAAACATTCAGGTAACACTTAGCTTTTACATATCATATTGCATAGAAAATGCTGATCTATCCCAGAGCAGGAACCAGAAGCTTATAAACAGTAGAACTAATGTTTCTGTTTTCATTACAGTGGTTAACAAGGGCATTTCAGTGTATTAGGCAAAAACTGTTCATGTGCGTTTATACGCAAGCTGGCTAATGGTGACAGGCTAAAATTGCTCTATCTTTTTGTGGAATTGTTTCTCCCAACTGTCACTATTCTGGTTTCGATTTGTTGTAAGACAGGCAATGAAATATGGTTCCAGAGACTCTACCTGTGTATTTAAATACAGTAAGTATCATATTTTGCCTGTGAGATATGACAAAAGAACATTTTTCTGTTACTAGGGCTTCAAGACTGGTATGCGTTCTTAGTCTGAAGACTTTACTTATAGCTAAAATACTTGAAGCTACTGCCATACTAGTATCAAAACGAGGGAGTTTCCTTTATCCAGAATGTTGAGACTTATATGGCAAAATTGAAACTCTCAACTTTACCCTTTTTCCCAGTTTATGCACAAAGATGCAGACTGCAAATTACAGACTGCTCTTTCAAAGGCTAATTGTTTTCCCTTTGTTTGTATATATAAAAAATACAGAATTAATTCATATTTTTCCATGCCTGCTTATAGCACTTAGAGATCTTACATGGAAGATACTGGGGGGATCAGAGAGAAAACTCATAATCATAGGCTCTTACAAATAAAGTGATGCAAACATTAGGAACCATCTGTAAATGGATTTGTAGCCAATTATAAAGAAATATACCTGGTTTATAGTTAAGCTGTGTCCCTACCGTAATGCTTTGCTGTTCACTTACAACAGCAGTTTTAACCTGTAAACAAAATGTTTAAGTAGTCTTTATAACCTTCAAGCAAAATGAGAAAAAAAAGTAAATCATATATAAGTACAGAAAAGCCTCCAATAACATGAAAGATGTTCTATATCTATCAGAAAAACATAGAAGTTATCTCCTTTTGAGACTATTGATATGATCTGTTTTCACAGACATTAGTTAGACATACAGGTTTGCAGTGATAGTAAATCAGGTTCATAGCTCCAAGGGTGATTGTCTATTTTATGGAATTTTCAATGATTATATTGCGATAGTCATATTTAGGAATGGAGTAATAGCTGAAGAAGTTTTTAAAAAAACAAAACAAAACAAAAAGCTGCATCAAGTTTGATCTACTGATGTATTTTCTCTTCTTAGGGAGTTAACATAAGTGGCGGGCAGAAACAAAGGGTGAGTCTGGCTAGAGCTGTTTATAGCAATGCAGACATATATCTTCTGGATGACCCATTGTCAGCTGTAGACGTACATGTTGGAAGGCATCTTTTTGAAAAGCTTATTGGGCCCTCAGGGCTCTTAAAAAACAAGGTAAACAAAGCAGACTTTTTTCAATATTGGTGATACTTCATATAAAGTTAACAGCAGACTGGGAGGCTTCAATCACGTCTATGTAGGTGGCAGAGATTTAGGAATGCCAGTCATTCACCATTTCAGTTGTATTTAGGAGAGCTGCATTATCCAAGTTTCCCCTAAAGCAGAGATTTCAAAGCTTTGTACTTCACTGAGATATGAGCCCTTTCCTATTCTAGAAATATCAGCTATAATATATCAGTCTGAAGGACCTTGTGGACAAAGCAGCATTTCATAATTACTTTGTGTTTATTGTAATTAATTGTACTGTGTTTACTCACATACCATACTTACCTTTTCCCAAAAATTAGCCTTCCAAAATTGAGGTGTTTAAGTGAGGAAACTGATGTCCACACCATAATGGAAGCATTGGGATGCTGGAATGGCTGCATACTTACCTCATGGCTATATGCAGGAGAGGCTGTACAACTGCACATTTAACCCTGTCACATTTGCTGTCAAATTGATGCTGCCCATTTGGCAGTGGCTCTGACAAGGTTAAATCTCTAGTTGTATGGCTGCAGCAAATAGATGAGTGATGCTGATGATAGCACTCTGCCTCTCCTGCATTCGGCAATGGCAGGCAAGATTCTGGAAAAGGCCTTTTTTTTTTTTCTTTATTTGGCCTTCCAGTGGTACATGTCTTATTTCAGGGAGGCAGGGGGAAGGTGGTATGCAAGAAAAATACAGTAATAATAATAGTTTCTTCAGCCTGCCTGCTTTAGACGCCGTGAGAAGGAAATTCTTATGGCACTTCTTTATGTAATCCTCATAGTAACAACTATACTGTTGCTACATACGGTGTTTTCATATGGCAAAAGTTAAACTGTTCTGTGTTTCAGACTCGTATTTTAGTGACACACAGCTTGGCATTCCTGCCTCAGACAGATCTTATAATAGTAATGGAAGATGGAAGGATAGCAGATATGGGAACCTACCAAGAGCTGCTTTCAAAAAGAGCCAATTTTGCTGAACTACTACAAGTCTTCAGCACAGAAAGCAAAAATGAAGAAACACTACCAATAAAAAGTGACTGTATGTAGTATCTTTGCATATATCATGTTTTTTAAAGATATAACTTTCCACATAAGTTGCTAAAATGTTATTTCCCACTGTAACAGGGCGTCATCTCCAGGGCTGGCCATGAAGCCCCTGGAGGCTAAGCAAATTCCTTACACCCTGTCCTCAGGGCTTTCGACCCTTCTTTCACCCACCACACCTTAATATAAAGGGTTATTAAAGCATGGGGGGCTGCCCTGATCTTACACGAATGTAAGGACCCCAGGCATGCTAGGGGTCCATGCCTTAAGGGCTAATTGCATGGCTCCAATCCTTCCCTACACCATGCCTCACAGGTGTTTTGAGTCACTAGTTGGTGGGACACTTGTCCCTACATCTCCAGGCCATTTTAGGCCTTCCTTCCTTTGTTGGGATTTTAACCTTCCCAGCTTCCTCTCCTCTGCCTGGTCCCACAGCTATGGCCCACTGTTCTAGGCCTGGCCTCTGGGCCCCAGCCCTGGTTTTGCCCCTCTCAGGTGCCAGGCCCCCAGCCCCTGTCTCCTCCCTGCTCTGGGCTCAATGGCCCCATGCTCTGCCCTGCTCCGGGTTCTGTATCTGCTCTACCTGAACCTGCCCCCAGCAGGGCTCAAGACAATCACATGCCCCTAGGACAATAATGGGACCTCCAGAGTAGCCCTGTAGTTCTCAACCCAAGCCACCAGTACACCTTAAATTAAAACACTTCAGCCTCCTGTTAGACACCCAAATTCTTGCCAGGATTAACATGAAATAAAGACCACTTGCCTGCATAATCGGCATCTCTCGCTCTCTACCCTGGGTAGCTCTTTATTGTTCCCAGGCCTGCAGAGATGCTTTCTTCCAGCCCTACTGTAGATTCAGGGACCCCACCATGCAAGCAAGGCACAAGCCGTGGATGCTGCCTAAGGAGGGGGTGAGGGAAGAATGGAGCCAGGAGTGTGCATCACTCCCCCACTTTCCATGCAGTGCTTCTGATCCCAGCAGCAGGAAGTGGTGAGCAGCAGTGACAGGGTTGTCCCCGCTATGCTGCTGCCAGGAGGTCTGCACCCTACAACTGTCAGGGCTGGTGTCCTGAACTGGCTTAATCCCAGGGTTTATACAACTGTGGCCTGAATACCTCTTTTGTCATGTGATGCCTCCAGTCAGCTGACCCAACTACAGGGCTCTCCTTCAACACCTACTCTGCTGGCTGCCTGTGCTATAAAGTCTCTGCCCTGAAAGGCGCCACACCACTTCTTCAGTAACAGAGCCAGGATTCCCTGTTACACCCACTCACCCCCATTTCTGTGAACTTAGGCTAGAAATAGACATTGCCGAATGATGTGGATCAGCTGTGCCACAATGTGATGTGGCACAGCTAATCTGCTTCACTGGGTGAAATGTACATCACCCCTTATCCTGCCCTTGGTGGTGCAGGACAAGGGGTGATGTGATCTCCTTGCTCAGCCAGACCTGCCACTGGTTTTGGGTCAGACTCAGCAGGGAAAGCAGGGGCTTTTCTTCAGCCAGATACGGGACATGGGTCTGACAGAGCAGGGATGGGCTTGTTTCTGCACAGCCACCCCCCTGCCCCAGATTTGACTCTGTGGGGAACCTTGACTTCCCCACTTATGGAGAGACACCCTGAGATTACCTGGGGTGCCCCCCTAAGTAGGGAAAGCAGGCAAGTGCTCTCAGGGATTGAGGGCCTCTCAAGACTCCAGAGCACCTGCCTGGAGTGGTGGGAAAGCACAAGCCGCTCTTGCTGCTTGTACTCTTTCACCACAGATGTAGTAGACGTCCACCACAATGAAGCTGCAGAGTATTACCACGTTTCTGAACCACTGTTATCCCTTTCAGTGACACAACAAAGGGTATCAACATTGCTTTGCTCTGCATTTGTGTCACCATAAAATTTTGTATGGTGGCACAAATGAGGTGTCAGGAGATGTCTGTTTCCACCCTTAGCTCTGGTCACAGTAGAGCATGGAACGGGAAGTTTCCAGCCAAGAGTATCTTTTTATTTCCCTTATAAATATACAAAGGAAGTGATTTTTACTTTAGAGGGACGTTGCCTGAAATCCAAGGGAAGAATTTGTCCCTTTCTGTAGTGCAGGATGGTCCGTTAGTGCTTTTGGTGTTGTTTATCAAGGCCTCTGTGGTAGTGATGTGTGGTGTGGAGGGAAAAAACTAAAAAAAAAAAAAATCAACATTTGCCTAATGAAACATATTAAGTTCAAAAGAGAAAGGGATAATGTTCTGAATTCTAAGAGAACTTATTAAAAGTCAGAGGACATTTTATACAACTCTAACTAGAGATAATTAAAAAGGACTTAATTTATACTATGGGACTGTAATAAACATAACCCATAGTATGCAAAACTCTCTACATGTTCATTTGTAGCATGTAGTAGAAGTGTCTGGTGTTAATAGATACAAATAAATACGTAACATTTGTGCTGAAAGCACCTTTGATCTACACAGAAAGCAGAGGTTTACTTTAACAGAGCTGTGATAGAGACTAAGCAAAAACAGGAAAGAAACAAAAAAGTAGCTTTATTTGTTTACTCTGTTCTTATTTATAATAGCCTAACATGGGAAACTACAAGTGGGGGAATAGCATTGACTCCAACATAAGTATAAGCTGCAGGCTCAGTGGAGAAGTCAGTGTTTTCCTCCTGCTTAAGAGAGTTCCTACTTCTAAATCTGCTTGTCTTTTTTCCCCTGTTTTTGCCAATTTGGACTCGCCTTAAAAAACTATTCCAGGGAGCAGAGTACAGGATTGGACATAGAGGCTGCTGACAGACATAGGGGGGAAAAACAAACCAACAAACAAAACTTTACTGGAAGAGGAAGTGCATTAGTCTAACCCAGCTCCCCAGCATCTGTATAGATTGGGTGCGTCAGTGGGGCTTTTTGGTGCTTCTATCTAAAGCTCATTCAACCAGTTTTGGATAAAAGCACCAAAAATTCCCACTGAAGTGCATGATCTATATAGATGTTGGGTGAGGCAGGTAAAACTAATGTGATGCCCCTTCTGGGCACGTGCTGCGCTCAGTGCAGTGACACACTGAACTGAAAGTAAAGCACCATTTGGGAGGGTTTATTTCTACATCTGTAAGCAGCCATTATGTCAAAAGTGAATGGCTTTTACGTCATTCCTTAAGTGTTGGTAGAGAGGTAACTAGCCTAAGCCACTTACTTCTTATTTTCCCAGGAGCATGGGAGCTGCTTGTAATATTTTATGAACCTTACATATTTGGTTTGGGTATTGCTGTGAGATTATAAGGGTTTAATTCCAGGAGGAAATGATAGCAGCTATGTACAAAGGCAGACAATAACTTCTGATAATCCTGTTCACCAGTTTTTAAAGGATATTGTAAGCTTTAGTTGTTTTGAAGTTTTACCTTTGTTCATCCAGAGTTCAAGTGCATGACTTTTAACTAAAAAGACAGATGCAGGCAGGAAATTGAAACAGAGAACTTATGCATATATAAAAAGGCAGAATCTAAAGAACTGAGAAAAGCAAAACTGCTGGGGAGCAAGCTGACATTTATTCCTTGAGGGCACCTGAGATAAGATAGACCCACATAAACCTTTTGGAAAACAGATGTATAATCAGTCCCTTTATTATGTTAGAACCCTTTTTTTTCTATTTACAGTAAACCACAATACTTCATTTTGTTAAAGGCTGTTTTCAGTCACTAAGTCCGTGTGTAGATGAAATGATGGGTATGTGCGCACAACACTTTAAAGCGGGCTAAATGCTTTTTGCACTGCTTTAATGGCGTCGGTGCTTGCATGCGTCGGTGACATATTGCACATTAATTCCAGCTGCTGTAGGAAATTTGGTGGTGTAATGTGTCTTAAATGACTTGGGGCACAACAAACTAATTCTCCTCTGAGGCTTGGGTGCCAACCAGTGCATTCATGCATTACAGAGCAGCCCCATCCGCCATATCTGTATGATTTCCTTTTTGTGTCTGGTGTGTCTGGCTTCTTAATTTCTGTAACTGATCACAGCTGATTGACTGTGGCTCTTCATTTTTTTCCCATTACAGCATATTCTTTAAAAGGAGGCAGTCAGAAAAGCTTTACTCTGCCACAAAATGAATTCCTGGGACCTAAAGATAGGCAAGTACTGAAAGCAATTCATACCTAGCCAGGCTGCAATCTGAGGAGGATGACTGAGGTGATCCTAGATCTGTCCCCAGCTTGTGCACTGAGGGCACATATCATGCTAGATTTTGGGTGAGATAGGAGGCAGACTTCTTGCATCACCTTGGCTCTCTTTCACACAAGTATCTAGGCTTTTGTTCTAAAATCTTTGGAATCCATGCTGCTCTCTAGCTAAACAGGTGGGGGGCTGGACTTGA